TCTTCTACAACGGTGAAGAAGAGGTGTCCAACGAGTGGGTCGACGGTTACGGCTTACCATGGAAGGTAAGTGATGTCTATTGAAGCGCATTCACCAAAATCTAACCAAATAAATAGGATCTCAACGACTATCAGAGGTGCTCGCACGTCATGAGCCTCGGCAAAGGCCCAGGAGGTTTCGTCTTGGACAACACCATCCGGATCACGCGCCCGTACGCCGACGTTCAAAAGGACCTGAAGGAAGTCGCCGGTGCTACTCCGGACGATATGGAAAGCAAGCGCAACCTTGGGCTGGGGATCTTCTTGAATTGGGCTTGGAAATGGGAGATGGTTAGTAAGATCCTTGTCCGAACTGGAATGAGACACATACTAACTGCCTCTACCTCTAGCTCCTGCCCGCTTCGATGAAGCCTGCCAAAGATGACGACATGTCCTCCAAGGTTCTCGGCCTCTTAGTCGTCCTTTCCTCTTTCACTCACGGTTCCGCGAGCCTAGTACGCGGCTATCTCGTCGAAACCGTCAAGGCCCGTGTCTCTGGCGCCGAAGATGACGAGACGAAAGACCCACTTCTCCGCGCTCAAGACGTCGTGCACGTGATCAGCACACTGTACGAGAAGGCGGGTAGCTTAGCTGCGAAGATCGCGCTAGCCAAGGAGAAGGCGATGAAAGACAAGATGAAAGAGAAAGCGCGGAAGACGGCCTGGAAGGCGAAGCAGAAGACGGGAGGAAAGGGCAAGGAGCCATCTGATGTTGACGATCTGGCCGACCAGCTAGGTGGCCCTCAGAACTACATAGATCTTACATAGAAGGATCAGCGAGGTGGTAGACCAGCAGGACGCCTACATACCTGATAGACAGCGAGAAATGAAGTATCCCGAAGCCCATGTAGACATCTCCATGATCAATGGCAGCCAAGATTACGTCTACTAAACTCTATGTAGACATTATAGTGAAGCATGCTAATAACAATTGAGTTTTCTTAATCCAACGTAGTCACATCAGCTTCTCGAATTTTCAGGACCCGCGAGTCGTCTAATACCGCAACCACTGAAAATCATCATGCGCAAGTACTAAATTGTGTCCTTCTCCCCATATCACCCCTTCCGTCGCAAACCGCAAAGAACCAATCTGTATCAGCGGAAACAGCCGGTCACAGTTGTTTGCGTCGAATGCCTTGAAGTTATTCGATGTAATCTGGAGAGTGTTGCGCATAGTGTTGTGCAACTTTCGCGCTTCGGCTTGATCGACACGAAGCCGCCGCGACAGGGTGATTGGATTGTGGCCGTTTCCACCAAGCGCTACCACTTTCGTTGGCGTACGCAGGTTCAATATCATGCGTTCAGTGTAGAGCACACTGAAATGAGGGTTGCCTTGGAATAAGAGATTCGCTAGCGTCTTCAGAAAAATGGCAATGTAGTCGAAGAGCTGCTTGGCAAAACAAGTCGGCGAGTGCTCTAACAAATGAGCCAGCTCGTGCTCGTGAGGAACAAAAGATTCGCGCGGCCCGTCTCGGAGGGGCTCTCTTGTGCGCAAGTCGACGTTGATAAGAAGTTGATTGATGGTAGGCGAAAGCGCCGCAAATTGAACCCAGCTCAACGAGAAGTACGGCCGGCCATGTGAGAAGGTAATGTCGAATTCATAGTTCAGGCGTTTTGCAGCGACCAGGTGTTGGATTGCTTGCTTGAACTCTCCGTGTGTCTGGCGACACACGCGCAGCAGTCCGCGATAACACCGAAGCGGTAAATCGTTCCTCACGTAATGCTCTGACACCACCATGACCCCGCGGAAAGAACGACCCAGCTCTTCATGAAGCAACACCTCGTAAACATGGTTTCGGAGTTCAAGTGGAAGATCCAAAAAGCCGGGCATGTTGTTGGCGACCAAAAGTGCGAATGCGCCTGTCGAAGATCAGGGTCCAGCGGCAGGCACACGGATGTTCGGAAGCGAGACCGAAGGATTGTTGAGTATGGTACAGGCCTGCACTCGCTGCTTGCGGGACCAGAGAATGGGGATGCGGGGGTGACGACTGGAAGCTGACGTGATCAAAGGAAGTCTGCGGAGAAGATTGAAGTGAGGTTCAGCCTTTTCGACGAGGTTCAGTGTTGTGAAACTGATCGGTCCGTGCTACCCACGTGATTGGATCTGGGCTCTGGGATTTGCGAGCGGGCAATGGCGGCGCGGCGACTGCATCGTCATCGCTAAAGTGGTGTCTTGTCCAACATGGCATTTCCAGCCGGCCTGACTGCTATGCAAACACGGACAGCGCATCGCATAGATGGACGACTACGAACTGGATCGCGTCGCGTCGGATAATCCTGCTCTGACTGCGCCCGCGGCCCAGCGGGCTCCCATACGACGGCTGAAGTCTCAGGGCCCGACATCGACGTCAGCTGCTCAATCTACCGGTTCCAATACTACGGTCGCATCTGGGGAGTTGACGAAATACGATGTACGTTTTCAACACACGAGGCTTGGAAATGTACTCTAAACAAGCATAGGTGGGCTGGCGCAGGATTGTGAGGAACTTTTCCCCGTCATGGTTCTCCGTGACCATGGGCACGGGCGTAGTTTCTCTACTTCTCGTCGCTATACCGTTCAAAGCAGAATGTTTGTACTGGCTTGCGGTGATCTTCTTTGGACTCAACACTATCCTGTTCGCCTGCGCCTTCTCTGTCTCTGTCTTCCGATATGTGGTATACCCTGAGATATGGACCGTTATGATCGCGGACAGTGTCAACTCGCTCTTCCTTGGAACCATTCCGATGGGATTCGCTACCCTCATCTCAGCTTGGTGCTCAATATGCATCCCATATTGGGGGCCTTGGGCCGTTACCTTTGCTTGGGTCTGCTGGATGATCGATTCTGTAGTCGCTGTCTCAGTCACGATATCGCTCACGATCCTACTGATCTCCGCTTCTGATCGTCAAGCTTTGGATCGCATCACAGCAGCTCAGCTATTACCTATCGCTGCATCCATCGTCGCAGCCGGTACCGGCGCCAGAGTCGCAGAGCATTTGACCAACCCGCAACATGCTCTCGGTACGATCATTGCTTCGTACATTATGTGGGGTATGTCTACACCACTAGCGATGACGGTTCTAGTCATGTACTACACACGTCTGGCTTTACACAAACTACCACCACGAGAGATTGTTGTGTCATCTTTCTTGCCACTAGGTCCCTTAGGCATGGGCGGTTATTCCATAACATATCTTGGTTCGGTTAGCAGGCGGGTCTTTCCAGAGACGGATTTCTTCTCTGATATTCCCGTGGCAGGCGACATTTTCTTCGTCTTCGGGGTCTTTCTGGCACTCATCATGTGGTCGTTTGGGCTGACTTGGCTCTGTTTCGCACTGGCATCCATCTACAAGTCTCGGCCGTTTCCGTTCAACATGGGCTGGTGGGGTTTCACGTTTCCCCTTGGGGTCATGGCGCTTAGTACGATGGAGCTTGGTAACATCTTCCCGAGTCTGTTTTTCAGAGTTTTAGGGACGATCTTCGCCGTTGCTGTCGTTCTGCTGTGGTGCGTAGTAGCTGTTGGCACAGCACGCGGTGCATGGAGCGGTCGTCTGTTCAATGCACCATGCCTCAAGAACTTGCCGAAGAGAGATTCTACGGGGAAAGATGAAGCAGAAAAAGAGAAAGGGCTAGTGCAGACATGACCCTGAGTCACTATCATCGACACAAGAGGTGCGTATGCGAAAGTTTCATTGGGATCTCGTAAATTGCGTGCGTCTAATCGTAAGAGTATGTATGTTGCACGGCCCCTTCGTCGCAAAGCATCAAGCCCCTCGCTGACCGCTGAAAGACTCCAGCATACCCCCGTTCGCTGCCTCAAAGGGTAATTCTAGTTGCCAGCGCCTGCAGCATCGCATTGTTCTACCACCTGATTAGCATCGTTCCAAAAGTCTATCGATCATCGAACTCACGCTTCTGAGCCTGGCAGTCCTGAGTGGAGAAGTCTCCCTGTCCACCATTGGCCAAGTTCGCGCAGCCGTTGAACTGCTGGTCGCAAGAGCGCTGGAGAGCACCCGAGAGGTTGACAAAAGTGTCGCCCTTGACACTGAAGGGACGGTTCGCGATGCCGGAATCGAGGATAGGTGTAGCTGCGACACCACCGAGAGCGCCGGTGAAGGTCTGCGCGTTGTTCTGACGAACATAGATGGCGCGTGCGTTGCTGAGAGCAGCGACGCTAAGAACAAGGAGGGTGCTGGTGAACTTCATGTTGACAAATTGAAGTATTTGGAATGAAAGTACGTTAAAGTGATGGGTATCTTAAGGTGGTATTGAATGAATGGGGCGACCGAGCGCTGAAGAAGTGAAGTGAAGAGAATGAAATGAAGTGAACGTGAGTGGAATGAGTGTTGGCTTGATGATGAGCTTTCTCCGGCGACATCCTCTCCCACATATATATTCGCACGCCTACCCCCACGGCACCTACATCCAGATCTCCAGCGCTTCTCGCAAAATTACTAGGCGGAGTTGCAATGCCAGTGCTCGCCAGTGTTGGTGTTCCAAAGTGCTGCCTCAGGCACCTGAAACCCCACAGGTCTTGGAGTCGACACACCAAATGCCTCATTACCTTCGAATCGGCTACGCGACTAAACAACTACACCACTCAAGCTACTGTTAAGAGTCGAAATGTTTATAGCGCAGGTTTGACAGGTGGTGACAGCTGCTTGCAGCCATGATCCTGGATTTCGCGAGCCGCGTGGGTATGGCGTCGTTTGTCTCGGTGTGCTTCATGTGGTGATTCTAGCCGCGGCGCGACAATATGTGATACGTTATAGTGTTCGAGAATGTCGTTGGATGGATCGAAGATTCTGTGGTGAGTTGCATCGACGCACATGAGGTGGCATGCGGTGTATCGCGAGATCTGATGCGCGACCTTCCGAGGCATGATCAGCCATTACTGCGATTGATGATATGTGATGTACATTATTGTTCTTCTGTCATTTTCAGATAGTGCCGGCAACGCCGCTTTTCTACGACTTTGTAGGCTCATATGTATAATCGTTTCCTGTCCAGCTTTCCTACGTTCCTGTCGGCTCTTGCAAATGCGATCGCGCCCACGGCCTCATTCGGGCAGACATCTCCTATGCGCACAGGGTAGTCGCGCATCAACGCTGTTCTCGCCAATCCAGTCAAGGTAGTTCCTCCAGTAGGCGTAGGAACATAAGGGTTCAAAAGCGTCAGCGAAGATGCATAGCCGATGATATCCGGTGCGATCGTGATGTACTTAAGTACGAGTCCGGTGTACGCGGCGGCAAGCAGTATAAATGAGCAAACCAATAAGGCTGCGAACCATCTCCAATCTGTTTTGTACATTGGCGTCGTATCCTGCGATACATTGGCTTCGGTCGCGACGAATGTAATATTGGCGTCTGCACGTTGTGCCTGGGTGAAGTTCATAGCCCCGGTTTCCATCACGGATGCTGGCAAATTTCCGCCGATCGCTCTGCTGGCGTATGTGGATTGCCAGAATGTGTTGTACATTATAGTCAGACGGTCGCCGAAGACTTGCGGCGACAGCTTGTAGAGTTCGGTATTTCCAAAGAATACGCCGGTGAAGTCGAGTGGGTCCTGCAGCCATTTTTCCATAGTCGTCGCGCCTCGAGCTTCTGCTGAGGGCATATTGAAGTTGTCCGCGCTTGTCATGGCGAGGAGTGCGGTAGCCATGAACTGCCTTCTTAGCGCGATATCGTAGCCTATTGGGTAGTCCTCGTCATACAAATACATCTTCCTCATCTTGTAAGCGGCACACTCCGTCCCATTGCAGCGCACTCCGATTTCATATTTCTCGAACGAAAGCCCGCAATTCGCCACTGAGTACTTGCCTGTATCCGAATCGACGAGAGATTCACTCCGGATAGGGCAGGGGTAACTGGCACAAACCGGGGGCGCACAGAACGTCTCGTTCTTTTTGCAGGGCGGCGGCGCTGTATCGTTAACTACTTGGAGTTGCCACGTATATTTTGACACAAAATCTACAGGTTCTCCTTGTGATGCATTGTTGCTTGAACAGGTCACGTCAAATTGGCGAGCTTCGATGTTGAAAGAGCTAATGCCGACAGAGGGAGGTCCGGCTATCGGGATACCGATTAGGGAAGCGTATGTGACGTTGTCGGCTGTACCGTTAGGCACAAACTTCCACTCGTCAGACGTACTGTTCTCGATAGTGCGGTAGAGCGGGAGTTTGACGTTTCCCCATAGGTCCATGGGTGTTGTACGGTATCTGGTGCTGCTGAGTATAGATGTGAGGAAAATTGGAGTGAAGGAGCTACGGCCTGAACCTACGAATAGTGTAAGTATAGAGCCATTTACGTCTAATTTGAGCTTGGCACATGTAAACTTACTAAGGGTATTAGCAGTCTCCATTAATGAATCCATAAACGTCGTCGGATGGAGGTAGCGCACTTGTTTGGTAAACTGAACGTTTCCAATCTCTTGGTCAATAAGACGAAGTGCAGACTGTCCACCGACTGGCGAAAGGAGCCAAATCAAGACGGATGCAAGTCCAAGCATAGACCAAGATCTCAGACAAAATTGACGTTCGAGTGCGGAGAAGACGGATTGGCAACCAATCAGCTGTTCGAGACGGCCGAGAGTTGTGCCTCGTTGAGCAAGGAAGAGACCAACATGTCGGAAAAACCTTCCCATCAAGGCCGCGAAGATTAGGGGGAAGATTGTCGGTGAAAGGAGAAGTGTTTGTTCCAATTTGGTACCGTAGTCCGACACTTCTTTTCCATTCAACCTGGCAGCGATAAGGGCCAGAGCTATAGCATGTCAGCAAGTGGTCGATGTAATCGTTGAAACAGCTCAGTATGGTCACGCTGAGATCGATCGTGCTCACCCAGAAACATGATAGGCGTTGAAGCCAAGATCACATCGAAAACCAGAATCAGTGCTTTCAATGGCGTAATCCTCCCAACTTTCCGTAAATCCGAAGGCCATTTCTGCGATACGCCCTTGGTATTATCAACACTGTATTCCGTATCGCTATCCTGGGGAACATGCGGGGCGGTGTTGTACGCCCCGGAATCGTATTGGGTGTTCAGGCCGCCATCATATTCCACTGACACGTGTGGACCTTTTGCCTGGGGTCCCACGGGTTCATAAGCCATGGCGCTCGGGAGTACAGGCAAGTATCGTCGCCAAAGTTGAAAAGCAGTAAAGAAAAACGAATTAGAGAAAGGAAAGATTGAACAGCTACACAGGTACTAGGAAGGATTCTAGGGACAGAGCATGAAATATGCTGCCTGCCACCTGCATTTTTGGCCCCAATCACACACATGCGGCATGGTACCTTGCAGCGGGCACCGCCCCGCCTCGGAACGGGGGTTAAGTTCGATAGAACATGCGCGATAAGCGGCTGAGGCTCTCGGTGAGGCTCTCAAACTGTAGGATCGTAGATAAGTTGACGCCGCATTGGGGCCATCATGTGTTGCGCGCGAAGACGACGAGGCTGAGTGGTGGATCGGATTGTTTTTTGCCGCTAGGATGCTAGCGTGGTCCGAAAATAGGCTAATGCAAGGGTCATGATGCCTGCACTCTGTCAAACGCGACATGGAACGCCGCCATGCATTCCCCACAATCTCCAACACCATACCGCCACACAACAGCCTTGGACCCAAGTACGAGCAGACCGGATACCACGGTACCTGAATCTTCTTATCTCCGATTGGATCTAGACCGTGCGATGTTGCCGACCTTGCGCGTTGGATAAGCCGCGCAATGAGGATCACAGCATTTCTCTGGGCAACCGGAACCCATATCCCACGGCGCATGAGTAGAAGCACTGTCAGAGAAACTCTGGGACTATCTGAGAAACAATGGCCAATCTTCCTGGTACAAATCTCCCTCAATCGGTTGTCGCGACGCGGCCATAGTGCTAACTTTCTCGCAGCGTGTCTCACTCGCAGTTTGCAAAGACTTCACACGCTCCACATTGACTGAGCTTACTGCAAAAGAGAAGGAATATCTGATACAAACAATCAGGGAGTCTGTAGTGAAGGAAGGGCTTCCGCCTGTAGACGATGAAGGGATCGAGTGGCGTGTATCAAAGGTTCTGCCAGAGCTGCGCCACTATCAGCGCTGTATGCATACACGGGGCACATGACGCTTATCGATGCTAACCGATAACAGTCGCAGATCAGTACGAAGCCTGGGAGAAGGTAGCTCAGAGATCATTTCCTTATGTAAGTACAATGTCATGCATTCGCTCGGTGACACGGAGCGTTGTCACATGTTCTAACACACTTTCCAGAAAGTACTTCGCGAGGCGGTCAATGCAAACATGGAAAAGATTCCCAGAAAAGGACTCCGCTACTGGATGGATATTCCCGAAGATGTCCGAATGGAACTCGCAGAAGACGTTAACAGGCGACTTGATGAAAGTGGCCTGCCTACGATGGACGAAGAGGCCGTGTTGTATCGGCTCAGGAAACACGTGAATCATTGGATAAGGGACCACCATGTGTCGCAATGACGCGCCTCACTTCAATGTAAGCAAACTGCATCAAGTTTCATTAAATCTGGTGGCGTCAAGAGCATCACGATAGCGACGTCTCATGGGATAGCTTTGGGGCAGAAGTAAATTCGATGCCTGGGGTGATCTTAGCTAATAGTGTGTAGTTAGAACGGACCGGCCAAGACAGAACGATGACTAGCTTCAAGCGATTGCTGTTCCAATCGAAAGCGAGTTTACACACTGTCCTCGCTCGAAGCATCTGTTCCGAAAAGACCAACCCAACTTCATTCCTTCGCCCACTCGTACTGCAAGCCATTGATGCCACATATTAGGCAACCAGCGCGGATGGTAGAGTCATAGACTACTACTTCCTCCAAACAATGAGCTTGCCTGTTCCCTTACCCACAGCATCCAGCCATCCCTTGAACTGTCCAACGTCAACCCGGAAGCCCTCAACAAGCGGTATACTTCCAGCCTTCTCCATCTTGGCGACCGTCCTTTTCAACGTCAGCGCACCCTCTTGCGGCTCAATGCTCGATGCATCCACCTGAGGCAGCTCCGAGGTGCTCGAGGCTGAGCGGATCTCGCGATGGAGATGCTTCTGGCCACGGCTTCCGCTCACGAGATTCTGTAGGGAAGCAAAGGGCTTCAGTGGCTGCTTAGAGGATGTCGGGGTCATGGGCTGGCCGCCAGGAGCGGGAGCATCCTTCTCGGGAAAGACGGTGTGCAGGCAACTCGACACATCGGTGACGGCGGAGATGTGCCACGCAAGCATGATATGCGGCGGCGCGATGTCCTCAGGCGAGGTGGGGTGACCCTTGATCAGGACATACGCCCATCGTCCCTCTCCATGGATGGCAAGATGCATCTGGTCCTGGGATCGAGTCGCCTCTCCTCCCGGCCCACGGTACCCGCGTCCAAGCTTCAGCTTCTTCTTCATTTCCTCGAGCTTCGTATGCTTTTGCTCTTGCTCCTCGAAAGCGGCGCGTTCCTCCTTGCCGCGGAACACGTCGACTTCTGCGTAGGCAATCTCAGCCGCGTCGCCTGGACCCAAGAACCTGATCTCCTTGTGGGGAACGACGCTGGTGTCGTAGAAGCCGACGGAGATGAGGTGGTTGTAGATCGGAGCGGTGACGGGGAAGGGGAATGAGGCATGGGCACGAAATGCCTTGGGGTTTGGAAGGCGCCGGTAGAATGACTGTACTGTGAAGGACCAGTTCAGGAGGATGGTGAGGAGCGCGGGAGTATAGCCGGGGAAATCGATATCCCATGAAGATGACTCAGGAAGGGTTGGTAGGCCGGTTGTATCGTCTACACGGGAACCCTTGGGTGCCGGACCAGAGATCTTATCGTCGCCTCCAGACATAGGCCTCTTGGACGACGAAGGTTCTACTTCTGATGGAGTGTGGAGGGCGACGTTAGTTTCGACCGGTGCCATAGGCTGCTTACCCTTACCTTTGCCCTTTCCTTCATCCCAAGTCTCTGCCTCAACTTGAGGAGAAGGGAACAGCGGCTTATCCGGTAGAGGCTTTTGCATATCCGCCGCCTGACTCAGCACATTCAGCCCCAGGTTCTGCATCTTTTTATCAAGTCCATACTCCTCCAATCCAGCCTCGAACTCTTCCTTTAGACCTTCCGGCATGTCAGGCGGCATAACGAACGGCTCTGGCGGTGCTATGCCCAAGACGCGGTGCAGCCTCTTTGCTGCGTCAGTGGCTCGAGCAAGACCTAAAGCGCGAGTCGTCTTGCTCTTTCGTGATTGGGAGGGACCAGGTTCGGGCTTGTTGTGAACGTCAGGCTCTGGAGACGTCCAATCATCGAAGCCAGATCGAGGTGGAACCGGGTTCACAACTGGTGTCTGGGGACCTGTCTCGATGCCCGCTTTCTTTTTGTCAGTCGTGCTCAGTTGAGGTGTAAATTTGCGCAATGCGAAGTTCAGGGACGAAGTAGTGTTAGGCGTGTCGAGCTCGGGGAGGTCAATGGGGGACTTGAGGTTAGTGGGTGCGGGCGGTTGTGAGCTTTCTGCCTTACCCTCATCGCTGGCTTTGGGGCCTTCTTCGGTGGCCTCTTTGGCGTTGCCTTTGTTCTTGTTTTTGCGGCGGTTCTTGCTGCGGTTCTTGTGGCCGCCAGCCATGGTGAAGGTGAGGGGGATGGGATCGAGCAGCTTGCTTGCTAGAGTCGTATAGACGACCCCTTGGGGTTGTCTTTGGATAGCAAGTTCTCGCTCTCAAGATGGCGAGTTGTTTGGTGAGGGTAAAGGTGTAAAGGAAGGAGCAGTCGGCGAGATGGACAGGGACGTAGGCAACGACGACGGCATCGAATCCGCGGTGACGGCAACTCCATAGTGACGGCAACTCCAAGGTGACCGCAAATCCAGGCGACTGCATATCCATGGTGACCGACGAAAAGGAGTATCACAACAAACAAAGCAAAGTAGAAACTCGACGTGAAGTAGGAATCAACCTCGATTACCATTACGACATCCTCAAAAGGTGCCTAATTATACTATCGCACGTGGTATCATGTCGCCTTATCCAAGGCTCCGCTCATTCGTCACAATAGTGCGTAATCTACTCAGTAGTAGAGAACACGTACTGGGCCTCGAGCGTGTAAGCTCCGCTGGAAGGACCGAAGATCTGCTCCTTCTCGCGCCTCCATTCGGGGTGGTTGATGGCGTCAATCCAGTCTTGAACCTCCATGACGACGCAGCCGTACTTGGGGACGTAGCCGCTGCTTCCCTCAGCACCTT